GTTGCCTTCTGTGGCCCCGCATTATCTGCCCTTCGTGGCCCACGCTCGTTCGCGCTCTTCGTGGCCCCATACGCATTCCCTTCGTGTCCCCGCTGTCGCCCTTCGTGGCCTACTTCGTGTCCTTCGTGGCTCTGCTGTCGTTCTCTCTCGCTCTCGCTTTCGCTCGTCGTCGTCGTCGCCGTCGCCGTCGTTGCCGTCGTCGTCGACGTCGTCGTCGTCGTCGTCGTGGTCGGTCCCCTGTCCGTCCCTCTTGGGGTCGGGTCGACGGTCCGCGGCCGCCCCGCCGATCAGCGCTGCCGCTGGCCAGGCCGACGGTCCGCGGCCGCCCCGCCGGTTGCCGGGGCCCGGCCTGCAGGGAAGAAAGGTATACCCCCCAAAAAAGGTTCGGTCGAAGACGAAAAGGGCGGGTATCGAGAGTTTGGGAAATACGCGTTATTGGACACTCGAGCATATAAGGGCGAACAGTGTTAAAATGATTGTTGTTGTTGATGTTGATGTTGTTGTTGAACATTATTTCTTCTTAAGAATAATTATTGTTGGGACCCCTGGTGCGCGCCCCCCCCGCCGCGCCTAGGCCGCAGCCTCATTTTCATCATTTTCGTGAGGAAGTCTCAGGCAAAACGATGTGTACCAGATCCGGTTGTTTTGTTGTCCCCCGCTTTCCCTTGCAAAAAATACGCTAAAGTTGACATTTCTTGTTCTAACATAACCAAACTTCAAGAATCCCTTTGAAAAAATAAAGTAAAGTGGACATTCGCGCGCGCAAGACGAAATCCTTCCAAAACCTTAGTTTTCGTAGCGATTTTAACATAAAAACATCAAAAAACCAATGGTTCTTCAAAAAAAATGTCAAAATTTCATCCCGCGCGCTCTTGCGGATTCGTAGGAAACCCAACACTTTTTTTATCATTTCTGTCAAACGGGCTTTTGCGAGCAACTTTTTCGAACTTCTGCAACAACGGTTGCGCACCTGCCAGGGCCATCATCCCTGTCAAATAATACCATGCGGGACACATTCGTTTTTTCTTCGCGCGCGCACGCCGTCGTCGTCGGCCGCGGGGCCCTGAATAGTAGCCACGGTCGTCCGCATGCCACGAAGTGAAGTGTCCGAACGTCATAGGGCGGGAAGCTGGGTGTGGGTGGTGGCGAAGAGTCGTTTGGAAATTTGGTAGAGCTTGAACCGGCCCCCCCACAAAGTGGGGGTATTGCCCGCCTCCTATGAAAACCCTGGCACTGGTGAGAACGGTGTGTCCCCACGTGCTAGTAATTGTTGTTGTTGTTGTTGTTGTTGGTGTTGTTGTTGTTGCTGCTGTTGTTGTTGTTGAATTCTCATTTCTGAAGAATAATTATTGTTGATCCCCCACCCACCGGTGCGTACTATTTTTCCTAATCAAAATGTGCCCCTCGACGCTCGCACCTTGTTTTTTGACAGGGAGAGTCTTCATGCTCAAACTGGACCCCTGGCCCCCGGGTTACAACAACAACGGTTCCCGCCTGAGACTTCCTTACAATTTAGCCAGGACCCCCGTTCCCGCCCGAGACTTCCTCGCATGTTATTCAGGAGTCGCGCTCCCGCTTGGGACTTCCTTACAATTTATTCAGGAATCGCTCTCCCGGCGCTCTGGAGTCGCGCTCTCGCTGGAGACTTGCGTGCAACTTGTGCGTTGGAATTCCCTGCAATTTGCCCAAGCGCCGCGCTCCCGACACACAGGCACCCAGGAGTCGCGCCCGTTGTGGCCCCATGTGCATGCCCTTCGTGGCCCCGCTGTCGCCATTTGTGTCCCCCTCACCGTCCTACGTGGCCCAGTTGCTGCCCTCAGTGGCCCCATAGTTGCCTTCTATGGCCCCGCATTATCTGCACGTCGTGCCTCCCGCTCGTTCGCGCTCTTCGTGGCCCCATACGCATTCCCTTCGTGTCCCCGCTGTCGCCCTTCGTGGCCTACTTCGTGCCCTTCGTGGCCCTGCTGTCGTGCTCTCTCGCTCTCGCTTTCGCTCGTCGTTGCCGTCGTCGTCGTCGTCGCCGTCGTCTTCGACGTCGTCGTCGTCGTCGTCATCGTGGTCGGTCCCCTGTCCGTCCCTCTTGGGGTCGGGTCGACGGTCCGCGGCGATCAGCGCTGCCGCTGGCCAGGCCGACGGTCCGCGGCCGCCCCGCCGCTTGCCGGGGCCCGGCCTGCAGGGAAGAAAGGTATACCCCCCCAAAAGGGGTTCGATCGAAGACGAAGAGGGCGGGTATCGAGGGTTTGGGAAATACGCGTTATTGGACACTCGAGCATATAAGGGCGAACAGTCTTAAAAGTATTGTTGTTGTTGTTGTTGGTGGTGTTGCTGCTGTTGCTGTTGTTGGTAATGTTGTTGTTGCTGCTGCTGTTGTTGTTGGTGTTGTTGTTGGTGTTGGTGTTGTTGCTGTTGCTGTTGCTGCTGCTGTTGTTGTTGTTGCTGTTGTTGTTGCTGGTGCTGTTGCTGTTGCCGTTGTTGTTGTTGTTGGTGTTGTTGTTGTTGTTGGTTGTTGTCGCCGTCCCCCCCCGCGACCCACCCGCGACCAACCCCGCGACCCACCCGCGACACAACCCACGACCCACCCCGCGACCCACCCGCGACACAACCCGCGACTAACCCGCGACCCACCCCGCGACCCACCCCGCGACCCACCCGCGACCCACCCGCGGCTCACCCCGCGACCCACCAGCGACCCACCCCGCGACCCATCCGCGATCCACCCGCGACCAACCCGCGACCCAACCTGCGACCCAACCGCGACCCACCCCACGACCCACCCGCGACCCACCCGCGACCCACCCGCGACCGATCCACATTGGTTTGAAGAAAAAATCGGCGCCTGCGGCGGGCTCGTTGCATAATCTGTGAAACTTTGGCGCCTGCGGCGGGCTTCTCCAGAGTCTCGCAGACTGCCGACGTCCCCACCGCCCCCTCACTCTTATCCGCATCTGCGGGGTGCTACGTATTGGAGCGTGCGCGTCGCCATTGCGCGGCCGACGCGCATCCACGACAAGTATGCTTGGGTGGTGCCGAATCCTGACCAGTCTTTCGAGCAGGGTCTCGTTCTGTCCTCGTTCCGCCCCTGCCGCAGAACGAGACCATGACGAGCACGGTCGACCGAGATCGCCAAGCACCGTTGAGCTCGAGCCCGCTTCCGAGCCGCCTGGGTCTCAGCCGTGGCCGCGGGGGAGGCCCCCGGACGGGAGGGCGAAAACCCACCCCCACCCCCTGTCCCGACCCCACCCCCGAGCCGGTGATCCAGAGGATCGGGACTGGGCGTGGAGGGGGGGGGGGGGTCGGGGGCCAAGGACCCCGAAAACACCCCCTCCCTCAGTCTCGACCCCCTGGATCGCCGCTCCGGGGGGTGGGAGTCGGGACTGTGGGTGGATGTGGGTTTTCGCCTTCTGGCCCGAACTGGGCCACAAGAGCCCACAAGCTGCATCCCCAGACAACCGAGACTAGAACTTGTCCACCGCCCCCTTCCCTGCAGGGGTAGCTGTTCATCCCTGGGCCAGTTTCTTCGCGGCCGGCTTCTCGCCTCGGACCCCTCTTGGAGGAGCCATGGGGCCCGAACACGAGGCTGCGAGGCCGAAGTCGAGGAGAAACGCCCGGGTCGACAGAGAAAAACCTATCGTGGGGAGGTCTGGGCCTCAAGACGTCGCCGCCGCCGCGCCGGGGCAGCGCGAAGCGGTCTAGAAGCCAACCTTGCCGCCGCGGCAGCGCTCGCGGCGGGGGCGGGGGCGCCGTCGCGTGCCCACCTCACCTGGGCGCCAGGGGGGGGGGCGCGGCGCACGCTGCCGCAGGCGGAGGAGGGAAGCATGGCTCTGCTTCTGCTGGTGCTTGACCACTCACTCCTCCGTCCGCGTGACCACCATAGCCATTCCATTCCATTCCATTCCATGTCACCCCATTCCATTCCATTCCATTCCATTCCTCTCCCCATACACCCCTGCCCTCTTTTTTTGCGTTAGCAGAACTCTGAGCGATGGGAGTCGTAGCGTACATACATGCATACATACATACATACATACATACATACATACATGCATACATACATACATACATACAGACATGCATAACTACATACATACATACATACATACATACATACATACATACATACATACATGCATGCATGCATGCATACATACATATATACATACATACATACATACATACATACATACATACATACATACATACATACATACATACATACATACGCACACATCTATACGTACATACATACATACATGTATGCATACCTACCTACCTCCCTACATACATACATACATATGTATACATACATACATCCATCCATACATACATACATACATAATTACATACATACATACATACATACATATATATATATATATATACATACATACATACATACATACATACGTACGTACATAAACATGCATACATATATACATGCATGCATGCATGCATACATACGTACATGCATGCATGCATGCATGCATACATACATACATACATGCATACATACGCACATACATACATACAGACAGGCATACAGACAGACATGTAGATGTGTGTATGCATGCATGCATGGATGGATATGGATTGATGGATGAATGTGTATATGGATGTATCTAGGTATGTCTGTATGCTTGTATGTACGTATGTATGTGAATGTATGTGTGTGTGTGTCTGTACAGAGGGGGGAAATGTGATGCCTAGGACCGAACGGACTGGCGACCAACCCGCGGGTGCGGAGAGACCGCGCGACGCGGATCAAGTCAAGACTGATCGCGGAATTTGCCCAGGTGGATCTACACACCAAGAGCAAGTCAGGCAGACATTCAAAGCTAGAACACAGACGCCCGCGGAAGCTCCAGTGAAACGTTGAAGCTCGTCAGTGAGACCAACTGGTGATTTCTGATCGCAGCGGTGGTGGTGGTAATGAGGATGACGGCGCTGGCAATCATGACGCAGACACTGGGTATGACAACAACAAAACGCGTCTGGACGAGTGCAGCATCGCCGAAATAGGCTGGGCTGCATCATGGCGAATCTTATACTGCTGGTCCAGCACCTTGATGGCGTCCTGAAGGGATGGTTCTGTGTTTCACTCATCTGCCTGAACACGGTGCTTTGCTCTGTACACCCACCCGATACACGTCCTGCCAGACCAGCGCCGCTGCAAAGGCGCCCTCGCCAGAAGAAGCGACAACCAGCAGCAACAGCACCAGCCAGTGCGCGGCTTCGCAGACAGCCGCAGCGGCTGCGAAGCTGGCAGCTCCGAGAGTGGACTCATCCCTGCCCACCCCTGCTCCGCATGATCCTGCTTCAACTGCTCTTTCATCCTTCGCTCTGTGGACAATGTCGGCTTCCTACCTCGTCTGCGGCCGCGCTGCGTCGATGACGAGGACAATGTGCGCTCGAAAGCGCTGTGCCCCTCCGAAGTGGAAGAAGGGTGACAATGCATAATGGAGGCGTCGATGATCCGATGAACCCACCGATGCCAAACCTTCTATTACTCACATTCCGACTCCCCGTCAACCGCATACAGAAAGCAATGTCACAATTGACCAGGGGACGACAGTGAGAAGTTGAGCGACTGCCGAGGCAACTACGCAGTGCTCTGCGATTCGGACTGGACCTGGTCACCCAGCGGCACGATGGCAATGCCGGCGGGTGGGAGGTCCCGACCTGCCAGTAAATGACCGCCACCGTGTCCCCGAGAACAAAAACTATGCGTCTGAGAATGCACGTCGTTCATTTCCAATCGTGTTCATTTCTGATCGTGCTCGTTTCTAATTGTTCCAGGCCCCCCAGTGGCCAGGAGGAGGCCCAGGACAGAAGAATTAGAAATGAAAGGATCCTGGCCCCCAACAAAAATCAAGGATTTTTCAAAGAATTGGAGATGAAAAACGTGTACAATGCGGGCGCGGCCGCAAGAAACCCTCGCAAGAAACCCAACCCTGAGAACCCACGCGCGAGGTGCACCGGAGGGGAAACCTGGAGCACCCTGAATGCAGTAGCTCCTTCAACGGCCGCGGGAAGTCGCCGCGCAGCGCGAGGAGCGAAGAAACCGAGGATACCCTGACGAAAAGCATATGGTTTCTTGATGCGCGCCCCCACTGTACACCTGTCTGGCCGGGCGCCCGCAGTCTTTGCGCTGGCGAGCTCCCCAACAAGCGAAGCCCGTGTGGAGCAGCGGCCCCCCCCCTGAGGCTGGCGCTCCAGCGGGCCCCAGCAGCTCCAGCACTGCCAAAATGCGCCCCAGGACCACCTCACCAGGATTGTGGATGCCACGACAATGGACACCCTAACAGTCCTATCATTGAATTTAAAATGTGTTTGAATTGTCAGAACATGTTCCAAACATGTTCTAACACATGTGTTTACATGTTTAAAACATGCTTAACACATGTTTCAGTCATCTGGGAATTATTTGGCAACATGCTTCCTCTCCATTGATCGTCCTCCACAACATTAGGACTACAAGATCCTCCCAAGGCGAGCCCAAGTCAGCAGACCCCCAAGAACACATGGAAGGATCACGTGCTCTGAAGGTGCAAATGCGGCGTGCCAACCAGACTGCAGCCTGAACCGACATCGTGAACGCTTGCGAGTCCCGAGTGTGGCCCCGAGGGGCCGAGGGTAGAGGAACAACAAGGGCTTGTTCCTCTAATGGGTAGAGGAACAGAAAGTGGCATGAAAGTATGAAGGGGCCATGAGACACACAAATGAATACACACAAATAAAAGGATTTCCCATATTCTCCCATATTTTCTGGGTTTTTGTCTTCCCCCCCACTTCCCATATTTTCCCATATTTTCTCTGGAATCGACGATTAATTGTGTCTGTGTGTTTTTCCCCTCCTGAAAAAAAATCTGTCAACGGTCCGCGCGGATTTCTTGGCTCGGTGATAGACCCCCCTCCCCGGGCGCGCGGGCAGCGCCAGGGGCGGTGCGGGGGGCGCTCGCCAGGGGGCCCCAGCGCCGCTCCAAGAAATCCGCGCGGCCCCCCGGAAGTGCATGCGCAAGTCGGGCCTGTCCCCCTACAGGGGGTTTCTCGACGAAACATAAAAGATATTCCAGAAATGCTCAAGAACTGGTCCCCGGACTATGTTTTGACTATTTTTGACGATTCCCCCTGTAGGGGGACATGCCCGACTTAAGTGTGTGCCTATGTCACTTTTGATCCCTCGGCAGGGAAGCCCCCGGAGCGGCACAAAATGCGGCCCCGTCAAACCCAAAGACTGCCGTGCAGCGTCAGGGGCAGCGCTGCGCGGCAGCCCTGCGGCGCGAGCTTCGGCGCGGCCTCGAGGTGGGTGGTTCTACTGAGACTGTTCCGGAAAGATGGGTACAGTTAGGGCGTTGAGCCAAGGAGCCCTAAAGAAGGAACGGGGCCCCCTTTCTCCCATAAGTTACACTCAGATTTCTCAGGGAGAACCTCAGGAAAACTCACGGAGCACTGTAAAACAACTAAGGAACACGGAGTCCCTCCCAAACGAAAAGGGTTCCTTTCGGCTACACGCAAGAGTGACCCTGGGTACAAGTGACCTTTGGTGCACAGCTTTTTGGGGACCGCGGGAGGGCCAAGCACAAGAGCGCAAGACGCTACTATCGCATCGCATTCGGCGATCGGAGGACCCCATTGGGCCAGCACCAAAGGTCACTCCGGCGAAAGGTCACTCTTACGTCTAGTCGATCCTTCTTCAGCACAAGCAAAGCTCGGTACACGCCAGTCGGAAGAAGTGGGCAGAAACATGAAGTAGGAAGGCGGATAAAGTAGATTGGGTTCAGGCCCTCCCACAGAATAACAACAGATAACAAAATCAGATCGATTCTTGAAGTGGGAAGGCGCTTGAAGTAGATTGGGATCTGGGGTTCCAAAAATACCTACTTTCAACGACTGGCGTGTAGGTTCACTGCACCTATTAGGGCCTCTAGAAGATCCCAGGTCGGCCAAAGGACTTCCCAAGACAGCCCCAGACCGCCCAGATAAGACTCCGAGACATGCCCGGAACCTGTCCGGACGACACCCTCCAAGATGTGCCTAACCTCCTTGGCAGAAAGCAATAGAAAAGCCGCTCCCAAGATGCCAAATGAAAATCCGACCCACCAATATGACAGTCAATTCCAATGTCAAGCGACCCTAAGGCAAGTTCGACACGCCATGCGAAACAGCCCAGACTGCTTCAAAACCATCAACACACCCTACTTTATGCAACCAGATGATGCAGCCAAAAGGTGTCAACGTTTACTTACCGCCGCGGGATATGGGTGAAACCCAGAGGAAATAGGCTGGGAGTTCCTCAAACCACACTTCAGTATCCTCTTCTACATGTTCCTCATCCCTCGCCCCCTCCTCCTCCTCCTCCACCTCCTCCTCCTCATCCTCCTCCTCATCCTCCTCCTAATCGTCATTATCGTCATCATCATCAGCAGCAGCAGCATGATCATCACCACCACCATCACCATCATCATCATCATCATCAGCAGCAGCAGCATCTTCCTCCTCCCTTCTCATCCTCCTGCTTTCTCATCCTTCTCCTTGCATCCCTGGTATACTTATCCTCCTGCATCCACTTTCCGACCGCCGTGGCAGGCTCTGCAGCGGACCACAACAAGCCCCTGAGCCGTTCCAAAGTGCCCACAGACATTCAATTAGGCCTACTACGGGCCCCACCTTCCGAATTCGATTGTGCAACTTCTGTTCAACCATGCGGGACATGGCTGGCAACCCCACTTCTTCCGTTAGGATCCTCAGCTGACTGCTTGTTGTCGTAGAATACCAGCGCAGCGCGAAGGCCGCCCGCGTTGGGCTTCAACAGCACGACCTTCGCCACCTGAAACCGGCAGCGGGAGAGACCGACCAAGGGACAGCAAGAAGTCCCTCCGTCACCCCCCACCCCCCCTCCATCCCCTTCCCCTCCTCTACCTCCGAACCCCTATTCCTGCACAGCGAGGTCGCGGTCACGACACGCAACCTCCGGGAAATGCGAAGAGCCCTGATGTCATGCTATTTGATCGAACCCGTGGTCGATCTGTGTCGCACCGAACTCGGGTCGCGCAAGGTCATTCAGTCGGCCCTTTTTTTTATATATATATATATATATATATATATAGATATATTAAAACCAAAAACGAGACGTACCCAAGTCTTTCTCCCCGCAAGGCGACCACTTCAATGAGAGCTCCGTGCAGGAGTGACACATTGCGAGATATGCTGCACTCTGAGATTCTTCGCCTAACATTGTCGGGCCACGCACGTCGCGCACCTGCGCAGGAGTGGGCCACTGAGGACAGCGCCGTGCGCTACGTGACCTTCGGGCGCTCCGCGCCTGGTGATGCATCAGCGCCGCGCGTAAACTGACGCGACGGCGCCACGCGCCACGTGGGCACACGCCACGAGGGCGCCCTGGGATGTCGTTGTGTGTGCGTCGCTGATGTCCACTCTGGTCATCCACACCTACGGTCCCTGCGAAGAGGGAGGCGGCAGATGGCCGGTTGTGCGAGCAGCTCGCCTGTGAGGGCCCCGTACACGTCGTTCATTTCTGATCGTGTCCATTTCTAATTGTGCTCATTTCTGATTCCTGGCCCCATAGTGGCCAGGAAGAGGCCCAGGATAGAACAACTTAGAAATGAGAGGAGCGGATCAAAGAACCCTCGAAGAATCAAGAATGAAGAGTGCGCACATCTGCTCAAGGCGCGCGCAGGCTCCTCCAGAGCTGAAACCCCTGGCCCGCGGCGCGTGGCCTCCCGTGTGGTCGCCCCTCCGGATCTCGCGTCCGTGGCCCGCGGCCCGCGGCCTCCCGCGCGGCCTGCCCGCCGGTCTCCGGCACACACGGCCCCCCGCGCTCTCCAAGGCTGCCCTCCCGCGCGGTGCCCCGCACGGTCTCGCGCGCGGTCTCGCGCGCGGTCGCCCGCGTGGCCTCGGAGAAATCTGGTCTCTGCTCTGGTCCCCCGCGTGGTCTGCAGCAGGGCGCCTCCCGCGTGGTATCCTGCACGCTCTCGCGTCTGGCCTCCCGCACGGCCTCCTCCTCCTCCTCCTCCTCCTCCTCCTCCTCCTCCTCCTCCTCCTCCTCCTCCCTCCTCCTTCCTCCTCCTTCCTCCTCCTCCTCCTCCTCCTCCTCCCTCCTCCTCCCTCCTCCCGCCTCCTCCTCCTCGTGGAAGAATGCCAGGGGCTGCCTGGCAGGGTGCCTCTTTTTAATCTAAGAAGGGGCCATCCCCCCCACCCCTTTACCAGCAGACAGTTGCATGCGTCGTCCTTCCTTCCCGAGGCCACCTCCCTCGTGCCCGCTCAAGAATGGTGCAATTCCCGCCTGGCAGCTATCCCTGTTCCATGCGGGCCCGCTCGAGGCTGGTTCACTTCCCGTTTAGGCGCAAGTGCCTGAACCCCCATTACATGCGCGCCCGCTCGAGGAGTGTGCACTTCCCTCTTGGTAGACCCCTCATCCCACGCGCACACGCTCGAGGATCGTACACTTCCCGCATTCCCAGGCGCTGCTCCCAAGCGCTCCAGGGCCTCCCAAGCCACGATCCCATGTTAGAAAAAACTATGACTATCCCAGTGCGACCCTACCTAGGAGTTGGAGCCTCTAGGAAAGCAACATCAGTAGGAGCGGTACACGAGTTGCTTGTGCTTTGCTTTGCTGTTGCATTACCGTTGCGTTGCCTTTGCTTTGCTGATATGGTATGTTCTGCTATGCTATGCTGCGCTATGCTATGCTATGTGATGCTATGCTATGATTGGCTATGCTGCGCTATGCTGCGCTGTGCTGCGCTGTGCTGCGCTATGCTATGCTGTGCTATGCTATGCTAGGGTACGCTCGGCTGCGCTGTGTTATGCTAGGGTATGCTATGCTATGCGATGCTGCGCTATGTTATGCTATGCTATGATATGCTCAGCTATGCTATGCTATGATATGCTGCGCTATGTTATGGTATGCTAGGCTATGCTATGATATGGTATGCTGTGCTATGATATGATATGACATGATGTGCTATGATATGATATGATATGATCCGCTATGATGTGCTATGATGTACTATGCTATGGCATGCTATGTTATGATATAATATGATATGCTGCGCTATGCTATGATATGATATGATATGATATGCTAAGCTGCGCTATGCTATGCTGCGCTATGCTATGGTATGGTATGATCTGATATGTTATGCTATGTTATGCTGTGCTATGCTAAGCAATGCTATGCTATGCTGTGCTATGCTGCGCTATGCTATGATATGATATGCTATGCTATGTTACGCTATGCTATGCTGCGCTATGATATGTTATGCTTGGCTCTGCTCTGCTATGCTATGTTGTGCTAATGCTGCGCTGCATTATGCTGCGCTAAGCTAAGCTAAGCTGAGGTAAGCTAAGCTATGCTAGGCTAAGCTAAGCTAAGCCCAGCTAAGCTAAGCTGAGCTAAGCTAAGCCCAGCTAACCTAAGCTAAGTTACGCTAAGCTAAGCTAAGCTAAGATGAGATACGCTAAGCTAAGCTAAGCTAAGCTAAGTTAAGCTGGGTGAACCCAGAGGGGCGCAACTGGGGGAACCGCGGGGCGGATACCGGGGGAACCGCCCGGGGCGGTTTACACTGCCCGGCCCTTTAAGAATACACAGTAAGAACCCTTCTAGGCAGAGCCTAGGTAGGGAACTATGCGTCCCGAGTTTCCAAGACGGCCTGTGCAGGCAATCAAAGACACCAACATGACACACAATGTTTATAAGACGACCATCGATGGCCCCAAGGCGGCCGAATATGGATTCAAGATGGCCCAAAGTGCCTCCAAGAGGGCCCAAAAGGGCCACGAGACGACCTCCCACAAGGTCCGAAGAGGCCAAAACCATTGATTTCCCGTGAGCTGTGGAGTGAGTTACAAGTGCGTTCTCGCCTTTTCGAGCTGCCGTCAGCTCAAGACGACCAAAGAGGACTCCACGATGGCCCATGAGGTATCCAAGACAGCCCCCCAAGACGGCCAAGGAGGGCTTCCCGCGGGACCACAGACGGCCTTGGAAGGACCTTCGACGACCCGAGACGGCCACACGACGGCCAACAGACACCGACCACATGGCCAAGAGGGCTACAAGGCGGCCCAAGAGAGCCCCTAGCCAGCGTAACATCGCCCCGAGAAAGCCCAAGAGGGCCCAAAGAGACCCCCATAAAACTGCCTCGCAGGAGGCAAAGCCAACCACAAGACGGCCTAAGCGAGCCTCGCCATCATCAGCATCATCAGCATCATCATCAGCAGCATCAGCATCAGCATCAGCATCAGCATCAGCATCAGCATCATCAGCATCATCTTCATCATCAGCAACATCATCATCGTAGTAATCTTCATCACCACCGCCGCCGCCACCACCATCATCATCAGCATCACCAGCATCAACATTAGCATCAACATCCTCACCACCACCATCATCAGCATCATCACCACCATCACCAGCATCATCATAATCAGCATCGCCATCATCATCATCATCATCATCATCATCATCATCATCATCATCATCACCAGACTCACTATCATCACCATCAACATCATCACCATCAACAACAGAAATACTAACACCAACATCAAAGCCATCGCCATCAACAGCATACTCAGCAGCAGCATCATCATCATCGTCAACAGCATCAGAATCATCATATGCATCGTCATCACCACCAACACCATGACCTGTATCATCAGCATCACCACCACCACCACCACCATCATCATCAGCAGTATCATCCTCATACTCAGCATCATCATCATCAGCAAACGCATCATCACCATCATCATCGTCACCGTCACCATCATCATCGTCACCGCCATCAGACCCATCAAAATCCTCACCGACATCATCATCATCATCATCATCATCATCATCATCATCACCAAGCATTACCATCACAAGCATCAGCATCATCATCGTCATCATCATCGTCAGCATCATCAACATGATTATCAGCCGCAAGATCATCATCTTGACCGCACGCATCAACAGCATCCTCAGCATCGTCGTCAGTATCACCATCATCGTCGTCGTGATTAGCTTCATCACAATGATCATCAACATCATCATCGTCGCCATCGTCATCATCAGCAGCATAATCGACAGCATCATCAGCATCAGCATCAACGTCGTCGTAGTCGTCGTTGGCATCGTCATCATCATCACCAGCAACAGCATCAGCAGCGTCATCATCATGATCATCGTAATCATCGTCATCACCATCACCTTCGTCATTATCGAATCCATCATTCTCATCATCATCATCAGCAGCAGCATCATCACCGTCACCATCATCATCAGCATTAGCATCAGTAGCATCAGTAGCATCAGCATCACGATCATCAGACCCGTACGAATCATAATCAGCATCAACAATATAATCAGCAGCATCAGCATCGTAATCATTGTCAGTATCATCGACAATAGCTTCAGGATAATCACCATCCATCATCATCAGTAGCGCCACCATCATCATTAGCAGCATTACCATCATCTTGGTCACCACCATCAGCATCATTAGCATCGTCGCCATTATCATCATCGTCGTCATCATCAACATCGTCAACATCATCATCATCATCATCATCATCATCTTCATCATCTTCGTCACCATAATCATCCTCATCATCATAATCATCATAGTCGTCAACATCATCATCATCATCATCATCATCATCATCATCATCATCATCATCATCAACATTGCCAGCATCGTCATCGTCCTTGCCAACATCGTCCTCATCCCCTATCATCCTCACAATCCTCACCGCGGCTCTCCCAGGCCCGGACACCACAAGAAGTGCCAAACCGCGACGGCCTCCCCGTGCACCCTCGAGCGGTCGCCACCCAGAATGCTGGACCGGCAGGAGTGGCGGGGTCTGCCGCGGGCAGCTGGATATCCTTAGGTCGGGCCTGTCTCCCTACAGGGGGAATTTGGAGGATAAAATAAAAATGCTCAAAAAATGCTCAAACGATGCCCAAAAATCTTCAAAAAATAGTGCCCAGGCTATGTTTTGACTATTTTTGGATATTCCCCCTGCAGAGGGACAGGCCCGACTTAAGGATATCCCGTATGGGCTCACGAAGGCTCTCCTACATGGTCTCCCGTATGGTCTCCCGAATGTGCAGTACAGTAGACCGCTTCGTGAGCGTTTTTTCTTATTTTTATTCCCTACCTAGGCTCTGCCTAGAAGGGTTCTTACTCTGAGGCTTAAAGGGCCGGGCAGTGGAATGCGCCCCGGGCGGTTCCCCCAGGATCCGCCCCGCGGTTCCCCCAGTGACGTTCCCTTAGCTTGGCGTTGCTTATCTCATCTTAGCTTAGCCTAGCTTAACTTAGCTTAGCTTAGCTTAGCTAAGTTTAGCCTAGCCTAGCTTAGCTTAGCTTAGCCTAGCTTGACTTAACTTAGCTTAGCTTAGCTCAGCTTAGCTTAGCGCAGCGCAGCATTAGCATAGCATAACATAGCATAGCATAACATTGCATATCATAGCATATCATAGCATAGCACTGCACATCATAGCATAGCGCAGCATATCATAGCGCAGCATATCATAGCATATCATAGCATAGCATATCATAGCGCAGCATCGCATATCATAGCATAGCTTAGCTTAGCGTAGTCTAGCTTAGTTTAGCTCAGCTTGGCTTAGCTTAGAGCAGCGCAGCATTAGCATATCAGAGCATCGCGTAGCATAGCATAGCATACCATAGCATAGCACTGCATAGCATAGCACAGCACAGCATAGCATAGCATAGTGCAGCATTGCATACTATAGCATAGCATAGCGCATCATAGCATATGATAGCATAGCGCAGCATGGCATCGCATAGCATAGCACAGCATAGCATAGCGCAGCATAGCATAGCATAGCATAGCATAGCATAGCGCAGCATATCATAGCCTAGCACAACACAGCGCAGCCGAGCGTACCCTAGCATAGCATAACATAGCATAGCATAGATGCTCCAACTCCTAGGTAGGGTCGCACTGGGATATTGTTTTATGAAACAAAAAGAC